TACGACTACTACGGCTACTAGTACGACTACTACGACTACCCGACCCGACCCGACCCGACCCGACCCGACCCGACCGCCCGGACCGACAGGTGTCTGAGCTCGGCTGCCCGAGCAAGGAGGTCCCCCCCGGGGGGGGGGTACGAGCGAAGACGAAGAGGGCGGGCATCGGAGGCTTGGACGATGCACTGTGGACCGCCCGGACGGACATTCGCCTGCCTGCCCCCGCAAGGGGGATCCCCCCCAGCGGGAATACGAGCGAAGACGAAGAGGGCGGGAAGCGGAGGCTCGGACGCTGCATCGTGGACCGCCCGAACCGACATTCGCCTGCCTGCCCCAGCAAGGAGGATCACCCCCAGCGGGAATACGAGCGCAGACGAGGAGGGCGGGAGTTGTGAAGGGGCCTTGGGACACACGAATAAGTACACACAAATAAAAGGATTCCCCATATTTTCCTCTATTTCCTGGGTCTCTGTCTTCCCCGCCACTTCATACGTTCTGGGGAATCGACGATTCATTGTGTCTGTGTGCTTTTCCCCTCCTGAAGTTGACAGGGCTTGGGCCACAGGCCGCCGCCCGACCGCAGGGAACGCACACGAAGAGACGAGCAGGCTCTGCCTGGCCACGGCGGGCCCGGGCCACAAGCGGGCCCCACGACTTTACACCTCAGGAGCGGCCAAGCGGCCCTTTACCCAGCGTCTTGACTGTACAGTCGTCGGCCTGACCTAAGGAACGATAAACAAGGAACGAAGCCCCCTTTTCGATCCCAAAGAATAACGCATAAGGAACGACAGATAACACATAACGCATACGGAACCGTGCATAACGCATGCAAGCCTAAGGAACGACCGAACCCCTTTTGAAAAGTTAGTGTTCCTCATTCAAGCCGCTCACTGTATGCATGCTGACTGGCGCCCGAGCACATGTTCACGAACGCACTGAGCATTACTGCCGTGGTTGGTGCTGTTGTTGTCTGCGTTCTGCCACTGTGTGCTGCTCCTTGATGCCGATAGGGGCCGTTCCACGCGCCTCCTGGGGCTTCTCGTGGGGCATTCGATGCGTTTCGTCCTACCGCGTGGGGCCTGTTGGGCAGTCTTGGAACGAACCGTTTCGGGAACCTCCAGGGACATGTAGGGACCCTCTTGGACCCTCTTGGACACTTGGACACTCTTGAGGGCATATTGGGTCAGATTCGGGGCATGTCGGGGGCTCCTCGGGCCCTCTCGAGCCATCTCGGGGCGTCTTGGGGCCCTGTTGAAGCTCTCGTGGACTGTCATGGCCTCGTCTTGGGCTTCGTACCCACACACCAGGCATGGTGGCGGGATGGGCCGAATGCCATTAGATACAGCAAACGTTCCTCCCTTCGAAATCCCCTAGATTTCTGCTCCTCATACTCCTTCACTGTACTCTTTGCAATGCAGACTGGAACCGCTTCGCACTTCCTGTCATACACCGAGTCCCCATGGTTCGGCAAACCCGTGCGCCTTGACCCGAACGGGAGGCGCTCCGCGATTCCTGTCGTGAGTACGCCAGGCCCCAGTCCCTTCTGCGATCCCAGCCGAATCGTCTCTCTTCGCTTACATGCAAACTAGAATCGCTTATCGCTTCCGGTCATACGATGTGCCACTGTCCCTGGGCCCACCCGTCTTAGCCTGTCCATCTCGACAAGAATCGCTGCGCACTTCCCGTCATCTAATGCTGACGCGCGCGCCCAATATAGTGACTTGATCTTTCGGCGTGCAAGCTGCGGGTGTGGGATGCGGCCTGCAACGCGCAACTTATTGGTGCAGTGTATGGGCTGCGCCGTCTGCGGTCGAACGCTGGGGATGCGACCTGTGGGGTGCAACTCGTGGGGCGTACCCCGCGAGGTGCAGCCTGTAGGGTGCCGTCTGTGGTCGTGGCCCTGTGGACGCAGCCTCCCGGCGAGGCCCCAAAGGCCCCTGCCGGGCAGGCCTTTTTGCGGGCGGGGCCCCTCGGCTGGAGCCTCGCGGGCGGCACCCCTGCGGCCAAGACCCCGCCACCCCACGGACCGCGAGCCCGTGGGCGGCTCCCCCTCCCCCGCGGCCGAGACCCCCTTCGGGCGGGACCCCGATGGCCGGGCTCCCCGTGGGCGCCCGCGGGGGGGCCCGGCGACAACCCCCGGCACGGGCAGCACGCCGCGGAGGCGCGCCCACCGGGGAGCCCGGCGCCCCGCGCGGGAGCCCCGTTGGGCGCTGCCGGCACGGTGGGGGCGGCGGGCGCCCCTCGCAGGGCGGCGGCGGCGGCGGCGGTCTGCCGCAGCGAGAGGAGGGCCGCCCGCGGCAGGAGGAGCGGCACACCGCCGGGCAGCTGCGCGCGGCGTCGGGGGGGCGGTCCTCCCATAACGAGGCAGTGCTGGGGGAGCAACAAGTGGCATAAACAGAAAAACTCGGAGGTCCGCGCGGATTTCTCGGATCGGCGCTGGGGCCCCCCGGCGCCGCCCCTGGCGCGCGGAGCGCGCCAGGGAGGGGGGTCCAGCGCCGATGCGAGAGATCCGCGCGGACCTCGGAGTTTTTCTGTTTATGCCACTTTTTGTTCCCCTAAGTGCGGCCCGCAGGAGGGCGGGGCGGGGCGCGGCGGCCGCAGGCGGGCGCGAGCCGCGCGAGGGGTGCGCCGAGAGGAGCGGGGCGGCCGCCTGCGGACGGAGCAGTGCGCGGGGAGTGCGACGGGGCGGCCGCGCGCGGGGGCTCCCGCTGGGGCCGCGGGTGGTGCCTGCTGTGGGGCACGGAGGCGCCGGAGGGGGGCGCGAATGCGAGCGGGGCGACCGCATGCGGACGCCCCCACGTGGGTTGGCCTGTTCCTGAGCGGCTGTGATTTTGTTCATGCCGGAGACACCTCCCCACACAGCCGAATGCCAACCGTGCTAGGCCGGCGGAGGAGCGCAGCGATGGAATCAGCACGTGCGCAGACTCGCACAGTCCTCTCGCCACTTCGCTGCGTAGTCATACCTGCCCATCTCCCTCTGTCCCTCGCTCTTTCTCTCAATGTGTGTGGTTGTACCTTCGCTGATATTGATATCTCTTCTTCTTCTCTCTCTCTCTCTCTCTCTCCCCCCATGTTGCTATCCAACACGCTCTCCAGAGAAGCTCGCCACGCTGCCGCAGGCCTTTCGATATCTGCATGTGTCAACGGCACGATCGTCGGCGTTGTCGAGATGGTGCTCGTCGCCTGGCTCGGCCCTCCCAGCCTTGAAACACAACACCTCCAGGCCCACAGCTCGGTACAGAGAGGACAACGCCTGCTGGTGCCGTCGCTGCTTCTCTTCCTCGGCTCACTCCTGCACATTTCTCGGGATGGCCGTTTGCAGGAGCGCTCTGGCGATGGCGAATCAAGTATCAGCACGTATACAGTCAACGGATGTGCGAAACGCGCTGTCACAGAGGCGCACGACACTTGAACCTAACTGCAATTGGAAACATAACGTTCCCCAGCCACTCCGCCCGCCATATTCTGGCACTCCTTTCGACCCCAAATTCGTTCTAACTGACGGGGAGATGTTGACCATCAGCGCAGACAACTACAACCGAACGCACAAAGAACTGAACACTGGCTTACGCCTCGCTGCCCCGATACCCACGACGCAGCCTGGAGCGTGCCGGCACGTAGCTCAGCTCGTTGCATTCAAGCAGAGATATGACAGTATACAGCTCGCCAGGATGTAGCCCAACACAGCACACACACACACACATCATACGCGCACGCGCATTCAACGCGCAGCAAGGTGTGCCTCTGCGGGAAGAGCTCGACACGGAGCCCAACACCCCGACCAGCACCGCACGCGGAACCCAACCATCGTGGCCGCCCCCCGCACGCCGCGGAGAAGCTGCCTACACGACCAAACTCGGTTGGAGCTCGACGTCCGCTTCCCTCTTCCTCCCCCTCCAGCCCTCTCATACGTCCACCACCTTGCCGCGATGTGCTGAGAAGAGTGCACCAACGATCCACCGATCCCTGAATACTCTGTCATTAATGCAGATGCCCTTGAAAGGGCCCAGGCTGCCAATAGCCAGAATTTGGGGGGGCTTCTGGCAGAGCTCCTGGGGCGGTCGTCTTTCCCAGAGCGGAGCTCGACGAGCGCGCGACGCAAGAACCTTACCATAATATCATATCATAAACAGTCTGAGGTAAGGCATGTCCTCCTGCAAACGGATTTTGGACGACAAATGCAAAAATACGCAAACTATGAAACAACATCAATACTGAAAACATCGTCGCTAGACGATTGTTTAATTATTCTTGAATGCTCCTCATGTAGAGGGACAGGCCCGACTTAACACCATTCGCTCGCCCGAAGCAGTTCCCAATGGGCTCTCTGCGCTGCTGGACATCCTCAAGACAACGCGCTCGTGATGAGGCCCAAATTGGCGAGCTCCGTGCGTAACGAACCCAACTACACAACTCGTGCTGTAGCTCTTGCACAATAAGCATCGGAATCATGCTTCCCGCAATTGCGCGACTCCTTTATCCGCCACCGTCCCTCGAGGCACGAGATGGAGTGTCCTCAGGTATCTCAGTCCCCGACCTTGAGCGTGTATCATAAGACTCTCCAGCGGACCTGCTGCCCCGAGTTCTGGGCGCTCCTGGTCGTTCCTGCCGCTTCTCGAAGACCTCGTGGGGCTTCTCGCAGGGTGTTTCATCAGGCCAGGGGGGGGGGCCCAACACGAGCGAAAAGGGGCCCTTCGAAGCCCTGAAAGACAGACGAAGAGGGCCTCGAGACGCCCCAAAAAGCACTCCAAGACGCCCAGGATGGCCTCAAGACGGCCCAAGAGCAAAGAGGCCCCCCAGACGCCCAAAGAGAGCCCCGAGAGAACCATACATGATTCACCGTAGTCCTGCATATTTTGACGTTCCCGCATATACGGGTTTCTGACGCTCCAATATGATCCGTCAAATGCTCCCAAGAGGGCCCCACGACGGCCCAAGAGGCTTCCAAGGCGCCCCAAGGGGCCCAGATGGGGGAACATGAGCTGTCTTCCAAGCCCTCCACCCAAGGTGACCCCATTGACCTCGATACTCGAACATTCCCTTGCCCTCAATTCTTGCGCTCTAGCTCTACCATGACTTACGTGTGCACCACCTTTTACGGACATTCTCGGGGTGATCAGTTCAAGACGTTGCGTGCTGGATCCAACCCAGAGGCAAAGGAGGCTCCAAACAGCACCGCAGCAGCTGTGGCCCGCGCTCGAGAGATAGGGGGCACACCCCGAGCTCGCACGAGCCACCTGCGAGGTGTTGAACCCGGCGGTCGATTGACCACGCGGCTGGATCCGCGGGCCCCGATCTTAGGCAAAACAAGCCCCTCCTCGCCCTCGTCCTCTCAGCATCCCCGTCCTGGTCATTTGCTCCTTGTCGTCCTGATCCCTCTTCCGACCGCGGCAGGCTCGTGTCGCGACGACCCCGGCGTTGGTTTCTGACGCTCCCTGAATGCCTGAATCTTGAACGATCGGCGGCGGTTCGATCGCCAGACCGTTCCATGTTGGTCGGTTCTGGGCCACTGGCGGCGTTCGACCGTTCGCGCCCGCGGCGGGGTGAATCCCGCGTGGACACAGCACGAACCTGCCGTACCTAGTGCCCACGCCGCTGGCCGAGGTGCTCGTCGAGGTGTCGGTGGTGGCCGTCGTCGTCGACACCGTGGCGGAGGACGAGGTGGTGCTCGACCAGGTGCCCGTGGTGCCCGTCGCACGGGTCCTGGCCAGAGGCTCGGCCGCGAGGGAGCTCAATTTTCGTGGCCAGCCCACACGACAATTTCTGGCTCAAAGCTTACCGACACCCCCCACCGCGCCTCCACCATGCCCCGCTCATAATCCCCCCCCGCCTTCTGGGCCAGAAATGATCCATCGCGATGCCTGGTCCAACCCATTTTTTTCCCCTTCGGGGATGGGGTCATCGCTGCTCCTGGATAATAGCTGCCACCTCGCCCAATCTACCATCCGCTAACACGATCTACTGCCACCCCCACGACTCAAACAAAGAAACCACGAGAAATACTCCCCGACAACTTCCCCAGTGGAGCTCGAAAATGCGATGCGATCCGTCAGAACCATGATCATCGAAGTGTTATGGTTCTGTAGATCCGCCACCGTGCCTCAGGGCACGGAATGGGCGTGCCCTCAGGTTCGTACCATCACCCTCTCAACCTCAGTCCGTACTCTTGAGGAGTCGTTCAGAATCCTGACCCCCACATCGCGAAATCTTCTCATGAGGAGCTTCTCGCAGTCTCTCGCGTGACTGTTCCGGAGCGATGGGAGCCTCCAAACAGGCCCACAGGGCCAACAAAATCACCCAAGACGGCCCCAACCGCCCCGACTGCTCCCAAGAGGCCTTCCAGAGAACCCCATGACGGCCCCGAAATTGGCCCAAGAGAAGGAACGCAAACTACAAATCGTAACATTCCGCCCCAAGAGGCCCCCAAGAGGCCCCAAGAGACACCCAAGAGGCCCCACATGCTGCAAGAAATCCCCAAGATACCCAACAACGACCCCACGAGGTTCTCTAAAACTGCCCCAAAAAGAAATCCGAGATGCTACAGAGAATCTGGAGACTCATCTGAACCCTTCCTGCCGAGCTCGGAAAGTACCCCTACAACAAACGAATCAAACATTCGTCGCTCAATTGGGGTCGGCGGCAGAGGCGGCAGCCTTTAGATACTCAAAACATACTCCAAACATGCCCAACAATAGTAAGAACATCGTCCCCAGGCTATGTTTTTACTATTTGGGAATATTCCTCCTGCGGAGGGACAGGCCCGACTTAACCCTACATCATAAAAAGGAGACTGCCCTCGCTTGTAGAACCTGGCGAGGCGAACCCTCATCAAGGCTTGGGGAGCGGCCAAGAACTTACAATTCCAGTCGGGCTTGATTGGAGAGGACACGCGAGAGGACACAAGACCCTTCCGAGGGCCACGATGCCACAGAACTGCAGGAGGCATGTGTCGCAAGACACAAGACACGAAAGTACCCTCGATTTGGCAGGGTCGACCTACTACTCCGGGCCGCCTGTACGACATTCGAAACCAGGGGCAGGAGGGGGAGGGGGAGGGGCCTCAATGGGGGGGCGCCCAGAACAACAGGCTTCCGAAGGCAATCCCCAAGAGCGACAGCGGAACGGAATTCTCTGAAAGAGGCTCACGCAGGCCCGTGGGTCGGCGGAAGCGAGCTGGACCCATGCCCGCTGGGTCCCATCGCCAGGCAACACCTCGCATCCCCGACACATACTGCCCCTGAGCAAATCACGCTAGGACTTGGCACGAAATAGTTCCACATCCAAGAGTCCGCGGAAGAAAGGGGGGGTCGAGGCAAGCAACCTGGGATCAGGACCGCGACGGGACATGTGCAACACTTCGTCGATCGGTGCCGGTCCCGCTTTCCCTCACCTCAATTTCTAAACGGAAGGTCCTGGGAGCTCCTGCATAAGGACTCGCGAATATTGCGCAACTTGTAATGGAGTCACGCAATGAAACAAGACCAGGAGCCGACAGCGCACACGAGCCTGGATACATTGAGGGCCTCCTCATGGAAGGGTCTGCATAGAGAGGGGGACTTCCTGGGGGCGACCGCCAGGAGGATAAGCCTAATGACACCTGGGGTGGCAATGGTCCCAGTTGGGTCCGCGTGGGGCCTCACTGTGCGGGCTCCCCCAGCAGCCCTCGGCAGTGGCGACGGTTTCACACTTCGCAGCACCCCAGTGATGGCGAGGTCTCGTTTGGGTCCGCGTGGGGCCCCACTGTGCGGGCTCCCCCAGCAGCCCTCGAAAGTGGCGACGGTTTCACACCCTGCAGCTCCCAAGAGGGATGCGAGAGGAGAGAGCCGGCGACCCCACTGCTGGGTACAGAACGAGAAACCAGCCAAGGAAGGGCTGGGAATTCAACACGGTGGAAAAACGCACAGGGCATCTTTGATAATAGCGTCAGATCGGGCATGTCCTCCTGCAGGCGCATTTTGGATTCAAACTGAAAAATTGGTCAACAACATACCCCCAAATGGTGAACAATCATTTCAAAATCGTCCCCGGACTATTTTTTGAAGATCCCTCCTGTAGAGGGACAGGCCCGCCTTCATCATGGCTAAGCAAAACACATGCGGTGGCGGCCTGCGGGCCAACTTGGCGCGTCGAGCCCCACCGACGCGCTGCCGCCGTGGACTTCGAGGCGGGACCTAGCGACGCACAAAGCAAAACAGTGGCCGGTGCACGCTGCATGTTTCGGGGGCGCGCATACACCCTGCGAGATGCTTGAGAAATCATGGGTTTCGAAATCTTAGGAATTAAATTGAAACATTAAGAATCATCGAGACTCTGGCCGAAAACTTAAGTTTTCTTGAGCATCGCCTAAGGTGTACATGGATTAGCGATCCATGGATTTGGCGCGCGGTCGCCAAATCCATGGATCGGGGGAGGCGCCCTCCCCCCAAATGCGGCCGGTGCCGCCTCGCTCGGCGGCGGACATCCGCGATTCCCCATGGAAACGGGACCCGTCGCTAATCCACGCCCCCCTGATCCATGTTCGCGATCGCCTGAATGTCCAGGCCTCAGAACCGTTCCTTGGAGGTGGTCCCTCCACCTCGAGCCCCTGAGGTCGTCGGCCTCGATGGGGGGATATTCGCGCTGAGGGCATGCTCGCTGGCCAGCTCGAGGAGCGCGATGTTGTCTCCCGTGGGTCCTGGCTTGGCCTGGCCGTAGAAAGAGACCGAGAGGACTTGAGCGCCGTCCGCGAGCTGGTCGCGCTGTGCGACCACCCTGTGGCTGGTCAGGCGGGGGCCGTGGTCCGCCGCAGCCCATGCACGTTTGGTCATCGCTGCCGACCCTCCCGAGGTGGATGCAGCGCCGCCCCCCGTCTTCCTCGCCGCACCCGCCGACGCGACGCAGCCCGACCTCTGCGCGATCGTCTCGGGCCCGCCGGTGCGAGCCGAGCCGCGCCTGCATTCCTGGCCGCGGGGCCCCCTCGGAACTCCTGGCCGCGGTGCTCCTCGGCCCACTGGAAGAGCGTGGCTGCCGTTGGGGGACCGCATGCGAACCCTACCCCACCCCCCACGATTTCTGAGGGGGAGGGCGGGGTTCAATTCGCTCGGGAGCTCCCGAACGACGTGAACCCCACCCTCCCCCTCTAAAATCGTGGGGAGTGTTGGGCGCCCGAGTTATCCGGGGTAACTCGGGTCCGGGGTACCTCGGGTTTGGATTCCCGAAATAGGTACCCGAGTTAGCCCTGACCCGAGTTACCCCTGATGATTTGGGGCTCTGGACGCCCGAGTTCTCCGGAGTAACTCGGGCCCGGGGTAACTCGGGTTCGGATTGCCGAAAAGCGAACCCGAGTTAGCCCTGACCCGAGTTACCCCTGATGATTCGGGGCTCTAAGGGTGGGGGCAGGGGTCGCACGTGGCCCCCTAGCCGTGGGCCAGCAGTCCGCGCTGCAGGCCACACGGGGAACCCATTGGGGGCCGGCGGCGCCTCGGCCACACGCCCGCGGCTGCCGAGCCCGGGCGCCGCGCCGCGCGCCCGAGAGATGCTCTCCGCTCCTGCCCCCCCCCTCTGGTCTTCTCCTACCAGCCTGGAGCATACCCCTATGCCTATATGCTGGGCATCTCCTCCTCGCGATGCCAATCTCAAGAATTCCCTTACTTTTTGAGGGCGCATCCCTAAGATTGCCATGGCTTCGAGGCTGGTGATTCTCACCCTTTCTTGAGGGCACAACCCTGAGATTGCCATCGCTTCGAGGCTGGTGATTCTCACCCTGCCTCGAGCCGGCGTGCGGTGGGGGGAGGGGCGGCGGGCGCGGCTCCCGTTGCAGCCCTGCGCGGCCCTGTCGGCCATGCCCTCGAGGACCTCGGTCGCGGACGCCCGTAGCCCCCGGCCTCCTCGGGAACAGTCTGCCTGCGCACAGTCAAGCTACTGCAATGAGGAACACAAAGCGAGGAACGGAGCCCCTGACACCAGAAGAGCCCGAGTGCACAAGGCGAGCTAGCAGAACAACTACGGAGTGACCTGAGGAACAGCGAGCGCCTTCCGACCCCCAAATGGTCCCTTAGAGGCCTCCTAGATGGGGTCCGAGTAGATGGGGTCGGGGGATCGCGCAGAATCGCCGATGCATCAACGATACATCGACGATGCATCGACGATGCATCGACGATGCATCGGCGACGTTGGCGATGCGTCGGCGACGTCGGCGCGGCGAGAATCGAGCTCCACATCGAGCCGCATCGCCGATGCATCGGCGATGCGGCGTGATCCTCCGACCCCATCTACTCGGACCCCATCTAGGAGGCCTAGATCACTCTCTCAGCAATGCCGGGCCCCCGCAGCACTACAAGGACTCCTGGGACTACAAAGACACCCCCCGACTACAAGGGCCCCCCCCCAGACTGCAAGGCCTCCCCCGAACTACTACTGCCTTTCCGCGTAAATCGAAACGCGCCCCCCCCCCCCCCCCCCGCCCCATGGGTCACCCAAAAGCTATTGAGGCATTCGGAGTAGCAGAAGCAGCAGGGGAAAGGCCAATTAAGACCATAAGTGTGTAGCTGCGCGGATTGTTGTGCGGCGATCCAGCGCTGGGACGGGAACGAACACCAGAGAGGGGATGGCCAAAGTGCAACCCCAATCCCACCAGCGCTGTGGGCGTAGGTGGTTTATATCGTGCTTTCTTCCACTCCGCTTCTTCCCATTCGGGGAGGGATTCGCCCTTTCTCCGGTTCCCTCATCATGAGTCTGGACGACGGGTGGACGCGATGTACCAGGGGGGTCTGCTTTCGCCCAAGAAGGCTCCACTGCGGCTTTAGACAGCCCAAGGTGGAGACCCAAGTCAACCCAAGATAGCCTCCAACATGCCTCCCGAAGATACCCACGACGGCCCAAAGACGACTCCGAGTGGCCCCGGAGCCTCCTAAGGATGACACAGGGAGACCAACAACACAACAATAAGTATGGGATTCTCTGCGTGTGCTGAATCATCGCCTTTTCGTTTCCGATGGAACGTCGAGGCCTCACGACGGCCCTAAGGTCAAACAAGAGAGCCCCAAGACGGGCTTCGAAGGAGTCCAAATCAGCTCCAAGAGTGTCCCAAGAGGGCACCAAGAGGCAATATGTTGGGCTCCGCCAGGGGGGAATTGGGCAAATTAGCCAACCCCTACCACACTTGAGCAACTTATTTTGTTGTGTTTGAGCGAGTTTGGCCTCTCGGGGGCATCCTTGGGAGGTTTTGGGGCCAAGACGCTCAAGATGGCTCCAATATGGCCCGATCTGTCGCATCCCCAATGCGACATGAGACATGGCGCAAGATGGTACACATTGGCTCAATATGGCCTCCCCTGGCCTCCCAGAGGCCGCGATGCAGCACAAGCAGGCAATGGAGCGCCTCAAGGGTGCCCCCGAGAGGCCAGAGTCGCTGAGCAACGTAAGGTTGTTCTACGATTACTTGTTTTTTTCGTACGGATCAGCGCCCTGACATCCGCAGTATTGCTGCAGTCAGTGAACGGAAACAGATGACACATCACATCAAATCAACATGAGGCTGGCAACAGAGCATACCATTGCTAAGCGAACTCGACAGAGTGTTGTTCTACGAGTACTTGTTGGGATCCGACGGCGGGTTTGTAATTACGGACTCCCTGTTTCTGACCAATGGCCTCCAGAGCTGCTCCAAGCGGGCTCCGAGGGCTCCCCAAGGCACCCAAAGAAGCCCCCTGATAGGGCTCCGACGCCTCCCAGCATGGTGCCGCTAGGGCACCAGGGTGGCTCCGAGAGGCCGCCTGCCAAGAGGCTCTCCCAGAAAAATATCGGCGAAGGCCTTTCTGGATGAGCCCAGCCATCGTCTTCGTCATCGTCGCCTTCTTTCTCTGGGAGTCCTCCATTAAAAAGCTGCACCACCACCGCCGCCTCCGCCTCGTCCTCGCCCTCCTTCCCCTTTTTCATGTCACCTCAGGCTCCACAAGGAATGGGTGGCAGCGAGTTTCGTCCGATTCACCTTCCTGCTGCTTGCCCCTCCTCCTCCTGCCCCCTTCTCCTCATTCCTCCTCCTCCTCCTCCTCCTCCTCCTCCCCCTCCTCCTCCTACGTCCTCCTCATTCAACTCCATTGCACTCCTTACTCCTCCTTCCAGTTCTCCTTCCTCGTTCAGAAGAGCGGCAAAGGCATGTGGTTCACGCCTGGGTATACTCAGGCTGATCATGACAAATCGCCTGGGAATCGTGTCTGGATGGGCTGGTGGGGACACGCGAAGCGTCACCGATTGTAGAACGGCTCGATACAACCCATGATGAATACACACGGGGGTGCTCGCTGTGTATGCATAACTCTGCCGCTCAAACAACCACGAGCAAAACTACCGCAATGGCTAGTGCTCCGAGTGCCGTGGTGGAGTGCACCCCTTCGGTCGCACTCTCTCGGGGACGACCTGTATCAGAACCCTCCATCATACTCAGAGAGCAAGTGGAGAGGCTCGAGCCACTCTACGGTTATATAGATCTGCGTAGATGTGTGTGATCGCAGCGAGCATAACGCGCACCACGTATGCATACAGTAGTCTCTACACACGTTTATAAACTATAGACATGGATTTATGCATAGTTGGATGGTACCGTATGCACTTATGCAACGTGTAAAGATCTGATGGCACAGACAAAGCCCAATCCATGGATGCTCTACTCTGTTCGCACAGACTTCAAGCTTGTCAGCCGATGCATGTTGCTCGATTCTCGACTCTATGTTTGGCTCTATATCCGCTCTGCTCTCTACTCTCTAATTTCTACTGTTCCTCCCTCTCTCTCTGTCGCTATGTGTTGTTTCTCTCTCTCTCTCTTGTTTGGTTCTTCCTCTCTCTCTCTCTCTTTCTTTCTCTCGCGTGAGATATACGTAGCACCCCGCAGTCGCGGATGAGAGTGAGGGGGCGGCGGGGACGTCTGCAGTCTGCGAGGCTCTGACTAAGCCCGCCGCAGGCGCCGAATGTTCACCGATTATACAACGAGCCCGCCGCAGGCGCTGTTTGTTGGTTAAAGCAATGTGTGTGGGTCGCGGGATGGGTCGCGGGCGGGTTGAGGGGAGGGTGGGTCGCGGGTGGGTCGCGGGCGGGTCGCGGGGCGGGTCGCGGGTGGGTCGCGGGTGGGTTGCGGAGCGGGTCGCGGGTGGGTCGCAGGTGAGTCGCGGGCGGGTCGCCGGGATGGTCGCGGGTGGGTCGCGGGTGGGTCGTGGGGAGGGGGCGGGGCGACGCCAAACAACAACAGCAACAACAAACACAACAACAACAACAACAACAACAACAACAACAACAACAACAACAGCAACAACAACAACAACAACAACAACAACGACAACGACAACGACAACAAACACAACAACAACAACAGCAACAACAACAACAACGACAACACCACCACCACCACCACCAACAACAACAACACAAACACCACCAACAACAACAACAACAACAGCAGCAGCAGCAGCAACAACACCAACACTGACAACAACAGAAATCCGCATCGCGGAATCCAACTTCATCCACGCGCCCAGGGACAGTGAATGACCGTTCGGGTCCCTGACTCTCATATGTCTATATATACATATGACGGTGTATGGATTTAGTATACATATACATAATTATGTATATATCGTTCTCTCTCTCTATTTCTTCCGGTGGCTATCTGGCTTCTCTCTGGAGTTACCAATGTCCATAAACTCTTCATATATAAAAGTACAAGCACTCCGTCTCTCTCTCATACTCAGATCGCGCATCGATGGTGAAGTGTGCCACTGCTTGAAGTCCACGCTGGCTGACAGACAGAAAGGGCAAGGCAAACTTGAAGCGAGGGGCCCAGCCAAGAGGCGTCCCACACCGTCCTGCTGTGCTCCAAACGTGGCGCAACTGCTCGCTATCCTCCCCCACTGTTGGTTCCGGAAGGACTCGCAAAGAGTTCGAGAACTGGAGCTCAGATGGCAACGCCAGTGACCGTCAAAGGCAGGCTTCAAAAGATCTCCTTTCTGAGATCTGGCGGGCGTGACCACCATGTCTTCCCGAGCTCTGCGGTAAAGCGAACATGGAAAATCCTTGCCACTGCACAGGCCTCCCCCCTCGCGGCAACTCATGGGAGCCTCCGATACTATCTTGTCGGCTCTCGCGAGTCAACGCTAAATCGACACTCATCGACGCTAAATCGACCATACATCGAAGCTACGCGGGCACATCTCATAGACTCCCAGGCGCTAGTCGACGCTAACGACGGAATTGAGACGGTGTACCAGGCTCCCATGACTTGCTACCGAACCTTCTCCCCTTGGGTCACAGAGCCACAACCTCGAGCTCGGACCTCGCGCGGCGCATCTCACCTCCGACTCGCCTACCCCTCGCTTGTGACCGTGTGGCAATTCGGCTCCAGCTTCATCCACGGGAACTCTCTCTCCACCACCTTGCGGCGACGTGCAGCGTTGTGCCAGCCACACAGAAGATCAGGCGATCTTGGACCAGCGCGGAAGACGATGACGCGAACGATCACTCGAAACTGCGAAGCCCCCCCTCCACGCCAGAGGCAAGCGATGCTGTTTGCCATCGCTCCCTGATCTGCACGGCGGCTGGCATCAGGGAAGGACACAAGCAGCATCACGTGCGCTGAAGAGCGGCAATCTTACAGCGACGTGATGCGCCAACATCCGAAAGGGATATACGGCAGGGGGCGGGAGAGACGGCAAGAGAGACGGCAAGGGGCGGGCAAAACGAACGGGCTTCCGAGAGGCAGCGAAGCGCCACACGTCATCGTGGCAGTGCAACAGGGCAGCAAGAACGGCCAAGCCCGCTGGCCCAACGGGCGAGAGGCGTGCGAGAACCTCCGGTAAGAGGGTTCAGGATATCTCTCGCTCGCGCGCGCGCGGGGCGGTCCCTGGGGGCCCCCCCGACGAGAAGTACCCCGCGGAGCTCCTGGAAAGAGGAGGAGGAGAAAGAGGATGAGGAGGTAGGAGGTAGGAGGTAGGAGGGAGGTAGGAGGAGGAGGAGGAGGAGGAGGAGGAGGAGGAGGAGGAGGTAGGAGGAGGAGGAGGAGGAGGAGGAGGAGGAGGAGGAGAGGAGGAGGAGGAGGCGAGGAGGAGGCCCGGGGCGAGAGAGACTGCTCTTCTCCCGGGCGTGGCCCTCGGAGGCTCCTCCAGGCGTTTTCCACGGGACGCGGGGCGCTCCAGGAGGACTGGCCCGGGCGGGCCACAGAGGGCGGCACGACGAGGGAGGATGGAGGAGGGAGGTGGGAGGAGGGAGGAGGGAGGAGGGAGGAGGGAGGGAGGGAGGGAGGGAGGGGAGGGAGGGAGGGAGGGAGGAGGTCCAGTTCTCCCAGACGGCCGAAGGTGGCCTCGAGACGGCTTGAGAGCGTCCCCTGCACGGCCCACGAGCGCTTCAGGACAGCCCAGGGTCGCCCCCGGCGGCCCGGGATGCCCCCAGGAGCGCTTCAAGAGAACGCCTCAGGAGGCCCCCCAAGAGGGAAACGTCATGGATGTCCCAGATGAGTGTCTCCACGATGCTGAAGTCCTCGGGCTTCCATCAGCTCAGGATGGCCCAAAAGGCTTTGAAGCTGGTCCCAGAGGGCTCTAAACTGACCCAGGAGGCCTCCAAAACGGCTTCAAGAGGGACCCTTGACAACCCAAGACGCCCTCAAGAGAGCCCCATGCTGGCCCAAGGGAGTTTCTGGAGGGACCCCGCGGAGCTCCAAGGGGGCCCAAGAATCAGGATTGATGGGTTGCTTGCCCCAAGATGGCTCGAAGACAGCCCTAAGAGGCCACAAGGTAGCCTCGCGATGGTCCTATACAGTGAAAAAGGCTCCAGAGGCTCATTTTCATGTTTGCTCAGGTTATTTCACGTCGCTACGGCCAAGCAAACATATGACGAGGATGCCACTGTATGGGTTGGAGGGATGATCGAAACGATGAAATGATCAACGACGAACCGCAAACGATAACGAAACGTATGGGGAACTGGGAAAAACACGAAGGCAATAGGTTGAAACATACGCCAAGCAATCGGAGGAACTATCGCCCTGAACATGGAAGAGATGTGAAAACTAAGAGAGGCACGTGCGATAGCAAAAAAGAGCCGGCACAGGCGGCAAGGTTGGCGACGACTGAGAGATATGGCCAATGTGAAGATCATTGCTAGTACAACTCAAATCACAGATGGAATGCACACATTGCTTGCCCATCTGGCTACATACACAGCACATGCGAACAGGTACTCCGGAGGATCTCATAACAATGGGGGGGGTCTGCTTTTGCGGGGGGTCTAACGGGCTTCGTCAAACACAATTGTGGGGGGGTCTCGATTTTGGACCCTTTGTTGCCTGTCTGGGGGGGGTCCCAGACCGGCCGTCAAACACTTTTTTGACCCCCCCCCCACTATCATGAGATTTGGAGTATATGGCTTGTGCGCAACACTGCGAGAGGTGGACAGCTCGCAGATGCCTCGCCCCCATAGCTCGCCCCATGCCTGCCCCTTCGCAAGAAAGATCGCCTTGCACATGTCGCGCAGGGCTTGCCCCCGGAGGCCGTCGCCCAGCGCAAAGTTGCACATGATTCTGGTGATGTC